AAAGCCCATCTCTGAGCAGATATGCTCCCCCCTGACGTTCCCTATGTTCCACCCATTTACATTTTCTATTCTTAAACTTCCATCTGGGTCCAGTCTGCTACCCTCGTCCCTCTTCTAGGAGTGGGGACCAGTGATCCAATAATGGCGTCCAGACTCACCGCTAACCAGTCTTTTTGCCTCCCCTCTCTGTGACACCACACTACTGCTCCTGGGCAGCGACATGGGCACTTAAAGAACCCCCTCATTTGCAGTCTAGAAGATAGACTCCAGACCCAGCATGTCACATCAATACATATGTAGGCGAGTAAAAGGGGCTTTTTTTTTTTAAATGAATCCTAGCAATTCACTATAGGGAGTTGGGGGTAAAGGTTGGGGAAAGGGATAAGAGTATGGCTGCAGATGAGCCTTATGTTGCATTGACATCAGAAAGTCACGAAATCCCTAATGACTAATGCTTGAATGATATCACACTGGTCAACTGATAGGCAGATTGCTTAGGTGATGCAATATTCACTTCCTTCCTCTATGTACTGTATTATTCTATACAGGGCAGTAAACACTGAACCCTTTCCAATCCAAGTTTCATTTCAAAAGCATAAACAAAACTCCACAAAACACACTGGGTGGCACTGCAAACAAAATGGCTGCTGATTTTCTAAAACAGAGACCATATGATGTATTTTAAACTTGCATTTTAGTAAACAAGATGAGCTAGTGCTTTGAGTAGCCAATAGTATGGGAGGAAAATAAAGAAAAAAATGATTGGCACATGATTGGACATTAAAACTGAACACAGCTTCATCTTAGTTACGAACATTCCCTTTGTCAAGTGAGCAGCCTCTACTTCCACACAATCAGCGGGAGAACAAATCAACTCCATGCCAAAAAGGTCTTTGTGGAATTGGAACTTACACTGTAAATGGTTAGCACTGTGTTTTCAGGTCTATCTAAAGGTAGCCACACAGCTTGAATATTAGCCAATTCAGCAGGAAGTTGAAGTTGTAGGCTGCCTTGTCGGCACCACCCGGCTCGACAAACTTCGATTTAAAAATCCACTGAGTTGGGTAAAAAAATTCTCAGGTGAACAGTGACTGCATCCATATCAGATGTAGTCACTGTTCAGATATTCAGGCAGTCACGGGTACAACAGTTGTCTCAATACAAAAGCCAAGGTAACTGTTACACTGGTGCACTGGTCCCAACAGTACACAGTCTAATACAATTTCTAGTAGGGATGAGCTCAACTTCGGGCCGAACCTGGTCCAAACCCGAGATCCTCTGAACAACAAAGTGCCATGGGTATTTCCACCCAATCAGCTTTGGGCCAGGCATTCCCCAGGCATGTAAACAAAGGGGCTGGATGCTTGTGCTGATGTCATTTACCAATATGGCCACATAGCTATAGTAGGTAAATTTACCAAATATCTGCACATAGCCACCCGCCCCACCGCATCCCGCCCCATTGCCCTTTTGCCAAGCTGGAGACTGAAATTCCCTGCCAGGTTCAGAGCTTAGGTTTGGACTGGGTTTGGTCTAAACCTGACCTCATCCCTAATCTCTGGTGTCAAGAGGCAGCTCCCTATCCTAAGTGATATCTCCTTGGGTCCCCGAAGTGATGCAAAGAATGTGTGATGAGTGAAAAGAAATGATTAGTAATTGATGAGAATACTGGACAGAATGAGCAAAAAAAAAATCAAAAGATTTTAATGACAGTGCAAGGGCCAGACTGACCATCTGTGTATGGCTAACCTAAAACTTAAAAAAAAAAAAACGGGTGGATAGAGTAGGGGGGTGGTTAGAACCCATGGCAGGTTTTTTTTTTTTTTTTAAGAGTTTTCCCTTCACTCCCTGGAGACCATTCAGGAAGGTAAAATCCCCTCTTAGACAGTTGTGACCACAACAGATGCCTCCAATGGGACATTTCCCCTCATTCACCGTTCTAGCCACAATGGTCACCAGGACAAATCTATTGGGCGATTCTTCACAAACAGCCTAAAACTAACCCAAAATAATGTAGCTTTAGATGTATTTAATGTTGTCACACACATTACAATCTGGATGTACACTCCCTATACAGCCTCCTACGGATTTAATATACACTATGTAGTAAAAGTGCCTGCTCCAATATAAACTGAATGCAGTGTTTAGGTGGCAGATTGCATAGTCAGTCTAAAGTTTTGTGGCATAATTTTCCTCTACTGCTGTGATTATATCACTGCCCCTAAGCCGTCAATCACTCCTCAGCGATTTGATGCGCATTTCCAGAAGCACTTCAACGCTCAACATGATGAGAGTTCCATGATATCCTATTGTGCCCTCTCACATCTGAGCAACGTGCTGACCCTCAAAGCTCAGGAAAGGTTCAGGCGCTTCTTTGGGACATGATCTCATGTTTTTGGCCCCAACAGACTTTAATAAGAGTGCTGGAAAAACGTGCCCAACAACCGTCTCCTCTTCCTAGTAACTAGCAATTGATAAAACAAAAAGGCTGAAGCCTGAAAACGCGCAAAAGAAGTGAGCATGAAAACAACCAAAGATGGCGACGCTTAAGTGTGAAAACAAATCTTGCATTTGGGTTAAGAGATTGTTGTATAAAACATGGCCACCTCATCTAAGGCAGGTACTAGGCATGGTTCTCATTATACTAGGGCTGATCATATGATCATAGCAAACACAGAACCCTCCCACATGGCACTCATTTTGAAAAAACAAAACCCAAAATATAAAATTAGCAAATGTTTGGTCAATTTGATGCATGCAAGAAACCACAGTACTGTTTCCTATAATCCTTGCAAGGAACACCACTTAATGGAACCAAAGGTTCACTTTCATATTTTCACATTGCTCAAGCATATTGGGCATTGGGTAAATGTGTATGCGGTCATTAAACAAAGTGTAAAAAAAAAAAAAATTGGGCTGTGCTAGAAAAATACATGAATAAATAAACGTGGTGTAAACCACAGGCCCATAACTTTCCATATTAAAGCAGGGGCAGGCCACCTCCAGCTGAGGTGAAACTACAAATGCCATCATGTGTCTGCCTCTAGTAGGTGGAGTCTTGCAATGCCTCATGGGACTTTTAGTCCTACAACAGCTGGCGTGCCGAGGTTGGCTACCCCTACCCTATAGTCTCTTGGTAGCTCCTGACATCTTACAGGTCTTGGATAACCCAACAAGGTGTTATTTTTGCTATAATTCCCAGCTCTGTTCCTGACAGATCTGTGGTAGGTCTGGATCAGTAGGAGTAGGAATCGGTTTTGATCTAAATCTGAAAAAAATTAAGGATGTACTCCTTGAGGGAGGCAGGCCCCTGATAACAGTGCATGTGTAGTGTATGAACCTGGTTATGGTTCAAGGCTCCTGCCTCTCTGATCAGGATGGGAGGGGGGGGATCACTCATCAGAAGATCAAATCCTGGATGTGTGGTTAGGAGCACCAAAAAATGGTCCAGTCACCAAAACAAATGGGTCACACTGACAAGACACTCAGTGCTCATCCAGCCCTAACTTAGGCTACAAAAGTACAACTCTTCCTGATTGTATTACATATTGCTGCTCAAGCCTTGAAGGAGGGGGCAGTCCAACACTCGCAAAACATGTTGGCAGTATTTGACATTTCATTTCAATGTGAGAGGACCATTTGTTTTTTTAAGACAGGCTCCCAACCACACATTTAGGACACAACTCTGATTCTGCCCACCTGGGATTTTGGGTAATCCCCCCCCATCTTTTCGTGCCCCAGTTCCTCCAGTTGCATTCTCCATAATATAATAGGAAACCCATCAGGTAGAGTGAGATCCCTTTATATTGGGCACAGCAGGTGTGCAGACAGGAATCCAGATCTCACCAACAGAGTGCCAGAGAGATATAGGAAACTGCCAGCTGGTTTAGCTCTCCAGCATCTACCAAAAAGCGACTGGTCCTCAAAGCTTTGTACACACCTATGCATTTTGGGCAAGTTTTACATGCCTTTGTAATGTGCACTTTGCTGACAAGTGAACCAAAGATGCAGCAAGATCTAATACTCCACACATAAATGTGCATGTGGGAATGTCACCTTTTTGTACTATAAATGTGAAGATCATCAACTTAAGGGGTTTTGTAGTTTTATCACAGCTGGAGGGCCAGAGTTTGTCTGTCTTTGCACTAGATGTAACTAGTCTCTGCTTATTGCACAAATCGGCCCTGCTTCCTGCTGACTATTTTACCAAATCATTTGTCTGACTGACAACAATAGGCTGACAAGTCCCACATTAAAGTCTGGTGACATGCTGCGTTTTGCTTTAGGAAACCTTTTTAAAAGGCTCCAACTGGTTATCTATGTAACCAAAAGTCAAAGTAGTAAGTGTTTCTGGCCCAACTTTGTACACTTACACAGACCCACCACTAACATTGTACACTGCATAGCAAATTGCCAAGTCTGACTCACTGGTTTCTGCATGTCTTCTGATATTCCCCCCCCCCATGTACCCTTCTAATTATAAGATAAAGGCAAAGTTCACAAGGCTAACACACCATGATGATGATGATGATCCTTGTTTTTTTTTTTAAATAAGCTGTTTTCAGCTTAGCCCAATGAGATTTTAAAGTCTCAATCACATGGCCGAAAAAGATCTTTATCCTTGCCAATTGAGCCTCGAGACGACATGAACATCAGGTTCACATCTAGTGGCTACAGATTCAAGATAGTGCTTCCTATAAGTAGGAGAACTGTATAATAAAGCCACCTACTTCATCATTACAGACCCCCTTCACCTTCATCTTCAAGACATTGCCACTACAAAGACCTGTCCATCTAAAACATCATTGCAACATACACTTCTCTTACAGCAGTTCCTGAACTAGATTTGAATGAAAACATCCCCTTTTTAAAGGATTCTACTTGTATAACAATAATTATATAGCCAGGTTATAAAGGGGCCCTCAGTGCGAATGGGCTCTGGGGGCAGTTGCAGTTTGATGTGCCTATAGTTACACCCTCCCTTTGTAGCACATCCTTACCAGCACTATGTTGAATCTCTCCTCCAGCTCTCCCGAACTTGGTCTTGGAACTTTGGAAGCTGTGCCATCTTTTTGCTTTGGAGGGGTACTCCCCGCTGGTGGCTGTGTCTTCGAATCCCGGGCCTGGAACATTTCCAGGGTCCCCGCTGCGTTCCCCATTATCCAGACAGCTCGTTTCCACGCTCCTAAATCCAGGCTTAATGCTTTTAGCGTGGAACGTAAGACAGAGGGAGGCAAGGAGGGAAAGACAAAAACGGCAGAGTATCGAATCAGGACAATGTATCAGTAAAGTTTAGTGGGAACACGCCCCAACTTCCGATTACGTCTTGGAGATCTTAACATCACACGCTACCACAAAAGCCACGGGGGTACACGCAGAAAGGAAGGTGTGGCGATATATCATTTGTAGGTCTGTAATAAGGGATCCAGCAGTGGCAGACTAGACTTCGAGCTGCCCCTTCTCCTTTTTACCTTTGATGCGAGTTTCTCCGTGACGACTTACTTCACAGTTCCCGATTCACTTCTCATCCGCTTGCAGCAGAAAAGTGTGTTTTGCAGCCGACCCTGCACTGGACGTTAGCTGTAAACTTTTTAAGATACAAACCACAAGTGCAAAAAGGAAGTTAGGTTTCAAAATCGGATGGTGTGTGGAGGAGGGGGTTCCTACTGTGCGGAAACAAGAGTTCTGCTTACAAAACGTATGAGCCCTCCAAAACTGACAGCCACAAATACTGGGGGACCCAGCATATTAACTGCATGTGGTATACCGATGTCGTTCGAGAGGTGGAGAATGACAGAACAGCAAGGTGCATAGAATGAAACTAGATACCATGACAGGTTATAAGATCCTTGGCTCTTCTATATGCAGGATCGGTTAACCCTCACATTGCACACTATTAGAGAGGAGGAACGTTGTCCTCCTACTCTTCAGAAGCACAATACTGGGGATTAAAGCATATCTAAGCCCTAAACAAAATATTCTATTTCAGTTTATCAGTCCTTAGATAAGGTGCTTGCATTAGTTTCTTCTTTTCTTATCACCTCATGTTCCTGCAAATATTACACTTCCCGTCCCTTCTTGGATGATTTTCATCTCCAATGTATCTATGGAAGGAGCCATGATTGTCACCAAGGCTGGTCTTTAAACACAACCTCCTTTATTAATCTTCATTACTTGGTGGATTGATGGGACTATTAGAGAACACTGCATTTCTGGTAAGATCAACAGGTATTTTTTGTAATTGCTGAAAATGTTCTTAGCCTGAAAATTGACAACTAATGCAGCCACCACATCCAAGGACTGGCAAGCTGCAATATATTACATATTGTGGAGGGTTAGATACAGTTTAAGTGTGTGATAGATTTAGGGCTCATGCGTACAGGCTTACTGGATTTGCAACCTGAAACACAGGATCTTGCTGCCAGAATTTGTCTGAATGCTGTACGCATGTATTGTTTACATGCTTAAAACAGCCTAAAGAACACAGCCTGAAGTACAAGAGCTTCTAGCATCCTCCTGTTGCTGGGACACAGATGGCTATTGACACCTACAGAGGCCTTGGTTACTGTGATGCAGGTGGCTATCGTCTTTGTCCTAGCAACAAAGAATGCTAGGCCTTAATAGCCATCTGAATCCTAGCAACAGACAAAACGCTAGACATCAATAGCTACCTGTGTCCTAGCAATTGGAGGACTCTAGGTGCCAATAGCCACCTGCGTCCTACCAACAGGACAATGCTAGGTATCAATAGCCACTTAGTGGTTCCTGCTGTCTAGCATTGTTCGTTGCTAGGACGCAGGCGGCTCTTGTACACCAACATGTATACATGTACAACCCCATTTCTCAAAAAGTTGGGACGCTGTATAAAATCTACATAAAACCGAATGCAATGATTTGCAAATCTCATAAACCCATATTTTATTCACAATAGAAAATAGATATTTAAACAGAGAAGATGTACCATTTTAAGAATAAAATAAGGGAATTTTGAAATTAATGGCAGCAACACGTCTCAAAAAAGATAGAACAAGACCATGTTTACCATTGTGTAGCATCCCCTCTTCTTTTAACAACTCTGTAAATGTCTGGGAACTGAGGAGGCCATTTGCTGGAGTTTTGAGAGAGGAATGTTGTCCTATCCTTGCCGGATATAGGATTCTAACTGCTTAATAGTCCTGGGTCATCTTTGTTAGATTATGTTTGTTAGATGTGCCAAATATTTTTATTTGGTGAAAGCTCTGGACTGGAGTAGGCCAGTTAAGCACCCGGACTAGTCTACTATGAAGCCATACTGTTATCATAGGTGCAGTATGCGGTTTAGCATTGTCCTGCTGAAACATGCTGGGCCTTCCCTGAAAAAGACGGTGTCTGGATGGGAGCATATGCTAGCTGTCAAACCTGGATATAACTTTTAGCATTATTATAATGCAGGATTTATAGGACCAACAGTTTGATGATGTCTTTTTCTGATGTGCAAGCTGCCTATTCCATCCACACTAATGCACCCCCATACCAGCAGAGATGCAGGTTTTTGAGCGCTGATCAGCCATGAGGTCCCTCTCCTCTTTAGTCCAGAGGACACAGTGCCCATGGTTGCCAAAAAGAATGTCATATTTAATTTTCTCTGACCACAGAACAGTTTTTCACTTTGCAGCAGACCATTTTACATGAGTTTTGGTCCAGAGAAGATGGCGGTGTTTCTGGATTATAGTTGGATATGGCTTCTTTGCATGATAGAGGTTTAACCACTTCAAGACCAGGTGTTTAGACCCCCTTCCTGGCCAGGCCATTTTTCAGTATTCAGCGCTGCGGTACTTTGACTGATGTTTATTGCGTCATGCAACGCTGTACTGAAATTAATTTTATACCATTTTTTGGGGACAGATAGAGCTTTCTTTTGGTGGTATTTAAACACCACCGGGGGTTTTATTTTTTACTATAATTAGGAAAAATTACAGAAAAGTTTGGGGAAAAAAAAGGTTTTTTTACATTATGTTAGGAAACATTTATTACCCAGTTTTTTGGTAAAATATAAAAGTTGGGGTCACGTCGGGTAAATAGACACCAAACATGTCAACCTTTAAAATTGCGTTTTACTACGGCCGGCCCGGAAGTGGTAAACTTGCATTTTTGGATAGCACGGCAAACCGTGCTCAGTGTTTTTTGAAAAGTATTCCTGTACCATGTAGTGATGTCCAGCACAGTATAATGCCTGTTTTTAATGCACTGCCATCTGAAAACCAGAAGATCACAGGCATCCAATATTGCATTGTGGCTTTGTCCCTTGCACACAGAGATTTCTGCAGACTCTCAGAATTTTTTCATATTATGTAAGATGTAAGATTTGTGAACCTCTGCCCAGCGTTACTTCCGAGACACACTGGCAACAGGTCAGTAACCCGATTGGGTATAAAAAGAGCATCTTTCGAGAGTTAATTAGCTGAATCAGTTGCAAAATGTTCTTCCAGCTTTTCTTTGTTAGTACCACTTTGCCAGCTGTTTGTTGCCCTGTCCAGACTTTTTTGAAACTTGTTGCTTGCCTAGAAGTGGCACAAACAACAATACAAACTTGACAAGGGTCCTAACTTTTGTGTTTAAAGAGAGAGACTCTTGTCACTTTGCCCTGAATAGTGAAAAGAAAAAAAGAACACGTCTGTAAAAAGGTCCACAATAAAGTGAACTTGTTGCTTTGCTTGGAATGTACAAAGCACAGGTTAACGTTAAGTCCACCTGACGCAGAGATACAACATATGGGCCTTCATTATTGAAAATGGTCGCTCCTTGGCTTTTGGCCTTGCTGCATAAATGAATGTACCTTTATTATTCACCCTGGTTTTGTATTGTTATCGTTTAAAATATATGCCTACCTCAGGATGCTGAAAAGACTAGTGCACAACTAGGATCTATAGGTTTTGTTTTTTTTAAACAGACCATATACAGTATAGCCCCATCAGTTCACACAATGATTCACATTCACATCAGTCCCTGCCCTTACAATCTAAGATCCTTATCTTACATATACATACCAGGACCAGTTTAGGCAGGAGCCTATTAAACCACTAGCATGCCTTTGGAGTGAGGGAGAAAACCAGGAGGTACTCATGAAGGCACAGAGAGACCATGCTGCAACTTAATGCAGGTAGTGTCCTCCCCAGAATTTAAACCAAGTGCCCCAGTGCTGCAAGGCAGAAGTGCTACCCTAATCCACTGTGCAGCTTTTCTGCTGGGATAATTCCTCTATGATCAGTGTGGTTTAATGCTTTAAGAACAGACTGGAGCATGGCACATGGCAACCAATCAGCTTCTCTCTGTTCAGTTAAGGTTTGAAAATGAAAAACTGAAGAGAAAAGCTGATCGGCTTCCATTAGGCAACTGCTCCAGATTCTTCTACT